GTGTTAGTCTTGGTTGGGGGGGATAAAGTAAGACAAACTTGTTCGAGAACAGTCCATGCCATAATGGTGATGGTACAGAAATGCAAGACGACATTGATGCCTCCTCAGCATTAGAACATTATTGTTATTCTCCGGCGTGATCTAGTCTGTATTTTCTCAAAGTCCTCCAGCTTATTGAGTTATTTATAAACCACTCTCACAAGCCTAGATATTTTACTGCACTGCTCCTCTGTGCATGGAGCTGCTTATGCCAACATTGCAATTCCATTTTTCTCACCATCAACTAAGCTTATAGGATCCATCACTCTACTGGATCTGTATGTTGCAGTATTGTATTGTTCCTAGTAAAATGGACTACTTGTAAACAAATAGTCTCTGGAAAAGTGGGATTAATTCCTGCATGTGCATCCTCTCGGAACCTATGATTGGCCACTCCTACAATACATGTACTCAGGAGCAAAGGAGGGATCCACAAAAGGACTTAGGCACCTAAATGCCAATTTCAATTGCAGTTCCACTGCAATCCACAAAACTCCTGATGATCCCTGTAGGTACCTAAACTCAGCCCCCTACATTTTTCAGAGTATGAGGGCCTACCTACACTTGCAACTCTACAGCAGCACCGCTGCAGTGCTCCAATGTGGACAGGAGGGATTCTCCTGTCAGGGTAGGTAATCCACCGCTCTGACAGGTGGTAGTTAGGTCAACAGAGGAATTCTTCCATTGACCTAGCACTGTCTACACCTGGGGGTTAGGTTGCTACAGCTCTGTCTCTGGGAGGATGCAGATTCTTCACACGCCTGAGAGCAGTAGCTATGCTGATATTCCCACTGTAGATCAGCTGTAAATTCCCTCGGTGCCTATGTTCCTACCTCTGAGCAAGCATGCTGCTGCCTATCCTTCACCTAAGCCCCAGAATGATGCAAAAAACAGAGGAAGATAGGTAGTGTTCAGCTGCCTAAATCATGTGCAAGGCCTAATCTGGTAGACATGCTCAGAGGCCGCCTACCACATTGGGTCCCCTTCAAAATCTGGCTGGCAGAGGAGAAACCACTACAGCCTATGCCCACCTTATAGCTTTTAGACCAGTGGTTGGAGCACCCACATGGGAGGGCCTGGGTCCAGTTCCCCTACTTTCAATCACTCTTTCATTATTTATGTAAAGGGCAACAGCTTCACCAGGAGAGATGGAGGGAGCTCAACATCAGAGTGGCCTGTAGGCTTACAGCATTCTCCAGAGAGTGGGAGACCCCTGTTCAAATCCTTTCTCCCCTACTAGCAGAGAGTGGGGGGAATTGAACCTGGGTCACAGGTGTGTGTCCTAACCAAGGAGCTTCTCCTCCAGTCATTTTCTGTGGAGGCACCTACCTCATTCTCTCAAAAAGTGCTTAGGTGCCTAAGCCCCCTGACTGCAGGCAGTGGGTTCCCGTGCCTCCCTGAAGCTTGTACTTAAGCGACTAACTAGGAGAAAGGGGCGGGGCCTAACATAGCCCCCTCCCGTGGGCATCTCCCATTGGCTAGTTTAGGCAGCACCCCCACCTTGCATGCTGTTTTGGGGGATTGCACTTGCAGTCATCTAGTTTTCCCCATTCATTGTATAGGGAACTCAGCTTTGTGGATCACAGTGTTGTTCCTCTGATATTCTAGGTGCCATGATATCAGTGTTGTGATCCTCAAATCCCTTGGTGGATCCCACCCCCTAGAGATTAAAAGAAAGTTCAGCAAAGGGCAGGCTTGCTCAAAACAATTTACGTGGGGTTTCCTTCCTAGCATGTTTCTCAGTTGTTAGAATTCCAAAAAAATCCTCTGCTCTGGTGCTTATCAGCAAATTATATTAATTTCCATGGTAACAGAATGAACAAGTGGGATGAGGTGTCTTACAGAAGAGGAAAGTATTATTTAAATGTATATCTGTTAGCATATGGTGTGTTAGGAATTGATTTCTGTATATTATAACAGAGACCAGGGATTTATTCATATTTTCTGTCTTCTCTTTTCTTTCCCCACTCATGCGGTTGCTCCTACAAAACTTTATCTCTAAAATTATGCCATCATCTCTTAGAAATGCACATTCTGCCACCCTTACTTGGGTTTATGGGACTAACTCACTGTGAGTAAGGCTGGCAAAATCTGTTCCCCAAAGAGGAATTACAAGTTATATTTTATAGCATGTGTGCCAGAGGCTAGGAAACTATAAAATTGTCTGAGCATTACTTTTTCTAGGTTAGGGGACTATGATGCTTCTAAATTAATAGTTTGCATGATACATTACAATACAAATAATAAAAGGGGGGCAGTTTGTTATAAACAAACTGCAGAAAGTGTTTTTGATAATCATAATATGAGTTTATTGAATGACTTTGTCCAATACCAGTTTCCTGCAAACAAACGTTTCCAAACAAGATCAGGCACTTTAACCTGATTAAACTATTACACGTGCATGGCATCATCATTATTACTTTAGTGCCACCACAAAAGTGCACGGTGTTTGGCAGGCAGTCGTTGTTGACAATCTAAACTTTAAACAGTAGCTTTTGTATTAGCCAGACATTTTGTCTTGTAGATATCAGTCAGCATGAAAGGTAGCTAGAAGGAGATAATAGGATTCTTTTCTTATAGATATCTTGTCACTCAGTCCGCATGATAAGAATTTCTGACGTTTATTTTCAATCTTCCTTTCCTGGAAGTAACCAGGGAAATTCAGTATTATTGGTTTGGCCAGTCTTCTGCCGCTGGAGGGCGCTAAACTCTACGGGCAAAACAGCGACAGTTCAACGCAGAAGTAAGAGCTTAAACTAAAATCTATTGCAAACTTGGTTGAGGAAACTTTCCTGAACAGAACTAAAGGGTTAGATGTACCCCCTCCAACAGCACCACTTCTCTGATGCGATACAACAGAATGCCTCATTTCAGTCTCCTGTTTTCCTTTGCCTTACGCATTTTACAGATTTCAGAGTAGCATTTTAGTTACACATTTTAGTTTTTCTCCTCTCCCATGCTGTATTTAACCCTCTCGAGGACTGTGGGATGCAATGTGTGCGAACCAGGCGAGACAAGATAAAGTTGTATTGCTGCTTGTCTGTCATGATGTGGCACAGCGCCCTGTAAAGAGGTTGGGGTTGGCTCGGTTTGCCTCTGTGCGTTAGCCTGCGCAGGAACAAATGTCAATACCTGGATCTGGGGAATTTGGAGGAGAGGATTGGATACCAACTCTTACTATGAGGGTGACCAGATGTCCCGATTTTAGGGTCTTTTTCTTATATAGGCTCCTATTACCCTCCACCCCTGTCCCGATTTTTCACACTTGCTGTCCGGTCACCCTATATGCAACGGGCTGGCTAGAGCCCACTGCAAAGCGTATCCTCGATGCATTGAAGGCCACCCCTGAGGCAAGTGATTTTTGTCAGCCCCTTGAATAGCCGGTCCATTCAATTGCCCTGTGGCTGGAGTCTCCAGGCAGGGGATGCTGACAGCAGGACGTGCGTCCCGCAGCCAGGCCCCGCCGCCCCCGCGCCGAGCACCCCTGTCCTGTGTAATCAGGTGGCGCGGGGAGGGCAACGGCCGCTGACTAGAGACCCCAGCCCCGGTGGGTGAGGGGAGACCAGGCCAAGCCCATCGAGAACCCCCGTAAATCCCCACTCCAGACCGGGGAGAGGGGAAGCTTAGCTGGGAACCCCCAACCTTTGGGGGTGAGCGCGGCCCACAGAGCCCACCCCACAGGTGGGGAACATAAAGGGGCGTGGCTGGGTGTGATCCAGGTGGGGGGGTCCTCCTCCCTCAGGCAGAGGGGCGCTCGGCAAGGCCCCGGACACCGAAGCCCGGGGGTGGGGA